AATAGTGCTATCCACCTTTTTTCTCGTCGGCGTCCTATGGCTACAAAGAATGGACCACAGTAATCAACACCTGTGTACGTGAATGGCCGCACATAGGGTGTCAAACGGTCGAGTGGTAGCTGGCCCATAAGCGGCACGGCGGGCTTAGTAGTCCGGCGGATACAAACTGGACATTTCTTCTTGACGGCAGCTAATAGTGAATGGGGTCGTGGTATCCAAAATCTCTGGCGCATTTCGTTTATGGTGAGTCGGCTATTCTGGTGATGGTTCTTTCTGTGGAAGTGATCCATTATCAGTACTGCAAAATGATGGTTTCGAGGAATAATGATTGGGTGTCGCGCTGAATCAGGGAGACAGTACGCGGCATCGATTCTTCCATTTATTCGTAGTACTCCACTATCGTCTAGCTTTGGCGTTAACGGAAACAATGAACTGGTTTTTGGCAGGTATTCTTTGGCTTGTAACAAGGCAATTTCATGTTGATAAAACTCAAGTTGCACAGTGCGGCATAAATACTTCTCGGCGGTTTTCAATTCATCTGGCATTAGTTCACCTTGGCGACGTGTGTTTGATTTACAGTTGGTTATGAAACGTAAGACCCATGCATACACTCGAAGGAGCTTCATAAATGTCGAGTATTTTGAAATATTTATTATTAAAACGTTGTTTATGACAAACACTGCTGACTTTTTACATTCTATTTCTTCAGGAAGGTCAGAATGTACGGGCTCGGCCTCAATAGGCCATATATCTTCACTTTCGCGCAAAAATGAGGGACCTGTTATCCATCGAGAATTCGACGAACATTCTGGTGTTGACTTAAACTTTGTGGCTTCATCTGCCACATTTGCTGCTGTCGGAATCCAACGCCATTGGTTGATATTTGTGGTTGAAAGGATCTCAGAGATGCGGCTGGCGACAAATTGTTTAAAATCCCGTTTAGTGGAACGAATCCAAAGCAACACAGTTTTAGAGTCACTCCAATACGTTACACTGTGCATGCTTCGGTCTAGGCATCGCTCTACCGAAGTTCTTAGACGACTTCCTAATACTGCGGCTTGTAGTTCTAAGCGAGGTACAGTGGTTGCCCGTTTAGGGGCACATCTGGACTTGGCTGCGAGAAATGTGACGCTGACATCGTTCGCGTACTTCATCCGTAGATAAGCTACGGCAGCGTAGGCGGCTTCACTAGCGTCCACAAAGATGTGGAGTTGCAGCTCATCAGCTGAAGAGTAGATGGGCGAAAGACATCTAGGCACTGAAAAGTGCCTTATTTTGCGGAAGGCTTTCCACCATGAAAACCACTGTTCTCTTAAATTTATTGGTAAGGAATCATCCCAGTCTATCTGCTGCTTCCAGGTCTCTTGTAAAATCAACTTGACTATGACGGTGATGTTAGCAAGCAGGCCGAATGGGTCGTAAATGGCCATAGCGAGTCCCAACAGCTCTCGTTTTGTAGGTGAACGTTTACACTCTAACACTTCACGCGAAATCTTGCAAAATCTGAACTGAAACTCCAAAACATCGTCAGTAGAATTCCAATACATACCTAATACTTTATCAGTTTTAGGCTCATGTTCCATGCTAACAATGTCTGGAGGCGCCTCTGTTCCCTGATTCAATAGATTTTGTAGCTCCTTGCAGTTAGAGACGAAATTTCTCAAAAAGAATCCGGCTGCGGCATTTATGGTAATAGCTTCGTTTACGACTTCATTGGCTTCTTGAATACTATCAAAACTGGCGACCAGGTCATCCACATAGGTGTTTTCAACAACAGCTTTAACACCTCGTGGCATTTTCTCTTCAAAGCGGCTGGCGTTTAAATTCTTAATATATTCAGCACAACACGGTGAACAAACGGCTCCGAATATCATGGACGTCATGACATATACTTCAATTCGTTTGGACGGATCTCCATGTCTCCATAGGAAGCGTTGTGACTGTCTATCTTCAGGGCGAATCTTGACCTGAGAGAACATCTCTTGTATATCGCCTGCAACTGCAAGTGGGCGTTGGCGAAACTTGAACATAACTGACATCAGTGGCTGTGCGCGTTCTGGTCCTTTCATCAAAACAGAATTCAACGAAACATTCGACACGGATGCTGCTGCGTCAAATACTATACGCAGCTTTTGTGGCTTATTGTGATTTATCACCCCAAAATGTGGCAAATACCACCTCGATGGACCTACGTTCGACGACTCTTCATCAGTCAGCAACTGCGCATAACCCTTGTTAATATATTTATTTATTTCGGCTATATAGCTCTTAGCATACCCCGGATCTTTGGCCATTTTGTTTTCGACGTTTAGTAATCTCTTCTTGGCCATTTCATAACTACGTGGCAATTGAACTTGATCTTCGCACCACAATAACCCTACTTGGTAGCGATTCCCAATGTTTTTTGTTGTTTTGCAAAGAATCTCTCTAGATCTTAAGTCTTCTTTTGACTGAAGAGGAGTATCTGGCTTGTTTACTGCGAAACTGTCTAGACTGAAGTACTCTTCCACTAACCGGTGTAACTGCTGCGATGAAAATTGTTTACGGACGTGGAAAACGTTGGCTATAGGACCACTACCAACCTTTGTTGGCCCATAAACTACCCAACCCAACTTGGTGGCGATGGCGACAGGTTCATTAGGACCACAGCTAACCATTTCTTTGGCAACACACAAATGGCTGTTGTCTAACCCAATCAATAAAGAAGGTTTGACGGATGAATAATTGGCGATTGGCAAGTTTATAAGATTGCTATAATTATTTCGTTCAAAGGTTTGCGTTGGTAAATCCAATTGTTTGATAGTGTATACATTCTTCAACTGATATGATGTATTTCGACTCTCTGCACTTACTTGCAGGTTGAGTACACGCGATTTTTCTGTAATTTTCTTTTTATTGTACCACTGTAACGTGAGTGCCGTAGTACGGCCTTTGACCCCAAGGCTGTTGGCAATACTTTCTTCCAGAAGAGTTATTGAAGAACCCTCATCGATCATGGCATAAATCGCGAAGCTTCCGTTGGGTCCGGTTAACACCACAGGCAATATTTTAAACAAACATTCGTTTTGGTTTTCGCGGCAATTCAATAAATGCTCATTACTGTTGGTAGCAGACGATGTTGCGGGCTGAACAGTTGACGAGGGTTTAACAGATGTGACAGCCTGATGCAAGAGAGGGTGGTGCATACGCTTGCACTTGTCGACCCCACACTCATGCCTAGATCGACAATCACCCAAACCATGACCTCGTTGAAGGCATGCAAAGCACAGACGGTTGGCTTTCACCAGAGTCCACTTATTTTGCACATTAAGTTCCTTAAATTCTGGACATACCTTTAACTGATGACATTGCTTACACTTAATGCAACACAATGGTTGCTGATGTTGTTGAACAGGCTCTGGCTCATTATTGAGTAACACTCTTCTAGGAATATTTGAAGACTGACGACTTGAAGACGACTGCGTAACTGAACGCAAGGCTGTTGACGACGATGCCTGGCTACTTCGCTGTAACGATGACACTACAGAAGGCATTAGGCTGACAACCTTGGCAAGGTCACTCAACCAATCAGCAAAACTTTGTATATTCGGATATACTGACGCCCCTGCTGCACGACGACTCCATTCAAATTGTTTTGAAGCTGGCAATTTAAGGACTAATTCCTCCAACAACATTGGGTTCAGCAAGTGGTGCTCACAATTCGCTGATTTCAGAAAGGCGACAATATTGCGTACTTGGTTTGAGAAATCAACAATTTGTTCAAGACGACTTTCGGATATAACAGGATATCTTTGGATCTTCTGCATTTGTACCCGAATTAACAATTCAGGCCGACCAAAATTGAATTGTAGTTCTTCAATTACTTGCGCCACGTTGTCTGGAAAAACCAACAGCGACGAAACAACACGGCGAGCATCACCGTGCAGAGCTTTATGCAACCTCATCAAATTTTGGCGATTGTTATATCCAAATTCCCTTGTAGTATCACAGTAACTGGCTTTGAAAAGAGGCCAGTCCTCTGGGTTACCATCAAAGTTGGGTAGTGGATACAACCTGGCGGCTAAATTGTCAACATACGAAATTCGAGAAACATTTGATTGTTGAGGCAACTGTGGCGACGACGTGGTATGTGACTGGCCATATTGTAATGGTGGGGCTGGATACTGTACAGATGATTGTGTATGTTGCAATTGTGGGTCTGGATACTGTACAGACTGGGTATATTGCACTTGTGGGACTGTATACTGCACAGATGGCTGGGTATATTGGATTTGAGGCTGTGGAGTATTTAAAATATCCATGGCACAAGACGTAGAAATTAAAGACGGCGGTAGGCTGCTACTCTCAGTTGCAAACGACAAACTGACTGGAGTTGTGAAATTCGTTGACTGTGCTCCTGCGGCGACAAAGGTTGGAGCGGCGTTGAAGTTATTTCCTTGTGATTCCTCTGTGGATCGAACCACGTCGTTGTTGCTTATATCACACATTCTGAACTCTCTACGAATTTGCTGATTATCGCGGCGAATCTCATTAACAGACTCCTTTAGAGAATTAATACTTGCCAATAGAGATGCTAATTGATCCGGTGAAATTATACCACTCGCAGAATTTCCGGTATTTGCTGCCATCGCGTTATTTTCCACAAGTGTTGTGTTCAAGCTGTCTGAATTATCTGACATTTCTTCCTCTACTCCTTGCATATTATTTTTCTTTGCACTCATTTCGCTCTTCTTCGTTTTATTTCGTGTGTGCAATTGGCTCTTTAAATATGATGATGCAAAAGAGACAACTACTTTTCGCAATAACCGTCTAAGTTACTAACGAAATTGACGACAATTGATTTTGTTGGTTTGATTCGACTTACGAATTCTTATAAGAACTGAACGTATCTGCGACTGAGGCAACTGAATGAAAGCCTGCTAGGTTGTTGCTACTGATTCGAATGTGTGCAGCGCCTGCTTGGCGGCTGCGGCTGATATGGCTTGC